GCTTTTTTCTATTATTTTCTAAATTGAGAATATTTTGATCTTGTTTAGATTGTTTTCAAAATGAAATGTATTTTATTGAATGGATACAGTCAACCAATTTTCTATGAACAAAAAAGTTTTTCTATCCAATTTTTTCCGTATTTATAGAATGAAAAGTTGTCACAGAATTTTTTTTTAAACTCAACGAGCAAAGATTAGAAAGATCCTTCTCACATCATATGTATTATAATTGACTTTCGAAGTTCAACTTTAAACATTATATAGATAAAGTTCTTAATGAGATTAGTTAATTATACAACTAGTATTTTTCTTTCTAGAAATGTAAATATATGAATAAACTTTATTTTTTCACATGAGAGAATTTCGAATGTCAAATATCTCAAAATAGAAAATATTAGAAAAAAGCTAAAATTTGCACAATCAATTAAAATGTTTATTCATGCAAAATTTTAATTCTAAGCAAATTTCAAAAACAAAAAAAAAATCTAAATTTTATTCTATTTAGGAAAATGAATTAATTGCACATAAATCTATAGTTGCAAATAAAGATTATCCAACATTACTTGATACATTTGTTCATGCCAATGGTCTTAAAATTCTTGCACAACATTTTGCTCGTAATTATCCATCAATACAATCCTATGATGAATGTTTAACATCATCATCATCTCCAAATACAAATATATTCGATAAAATAAATTTCTTTGATTTTTCATCATTAGTTTCAACACCATCATCATCATCAACAAATTCATCAAATAATATGACTATGCCATATTATGTATTTATAACATTTTCAATATTTCTTCGTTTACCAAATTATGCACGTGCTATGTTAAAAAATCGTTCACTTGCATGTAATATAATACGTTTAATGCTTGGACAAAAAGAATCTATAACAAATGAATATCAAGATCAAACACAACAACAACAACATCAAGAAAGTTTTGATATGCGTCAATTATCTAAATTACCATTTGAAACTTTATCAATATTACTTAAAGATTCATCAAATGATTTATTAGATGAAATTTTACATTCAAGTATATTACTTTTATTACTTTCATGTTTATCATCAATAACACGTCATCCACATCGTAAACAAAAAGATTCAACAATAACAACAACAACAATAACAACAACAACAACAACAGCAACACAAATGTCATCATTATCTATTCCATCAACACAATCAACAACAATAAATAATGCAACTATAATTGATGATAATGATGATGAATATTATGAAGATGATATTGAACAAATTGAATCAACAACAATACAACAATTAAATACAATTAATAATACAAATCATAATAATCATAATAATACAAATGCAAATTTTTGGGCTAAAGGTACAGGTTTTGGTACAGGTTCAACACATTCACAATGGAAACCTGATGAAATAATTCAAATACAAAAATTACATGAAGAACATGTTATTTATTTATTTGATATATTTTGTTCAATATTTTCAAATAAATTATCTGAAGAACTTCTTGATGATAATTTAATTGAAATTATAAATACATCATGTCTTATACCTGTACTTGAATCATATTTACGTAATGATTCAATATTAGATATAACAAAACAAGGTGATATACATCGATATTGTTTACGTTTAGTTAATTGTTTATTAAATAATAATAAATTAAAAAATTTAATTTATCAAACAAGTAATATTGAATATTTAATTGAAAATCTTTTACAATGTGTACAAACATATACATCAATGATACAAATTGATGATGATGAACAATTAAATTTATTTTCTGTTGAATTAAAACAAGTTTATGATAAAATAAAACAAGATAAACAAATTGAAAATGATCAACAATATCAATTAAATATTCATAATAAACAACAATTAATAACATTAGAAGAATTTTATTGTCAAACAATGAAATTATTACAATTTAGTACATATCCAATAACAATTGAAAATGAAACAAATGATAAAATTTTATTTAATAAAACAATTAAATATCATTATGAAGATATTGTACGTGATGCATTAATTATTAATTCAATGCAAAGAATAAAACGTTTAGCACAAGAACAAATAACAATATCAACATCATTACCATTATCATTTAGTTCGACAATATTTGTACGTTCAGATGAAAATCGTATGGATATTATGAAAATATTAATAACAGGTCCTGATGGTACACCATATTCAAATGGATGTTTTATATTTGATGTTTATTTTCCAAATGAATATCCAACAACACCACCATCGATTAATTTAGAAACAACAGGAAATCATACAGTTAGATTTAATCCAAATTTATATAATGATGGTAAAGTTTGTTTAAGTATATTAAATACATGGCATGGTAGACCAGAAGAAAAATGGAATTCAACATCGACATTTTTACAAGTAATTTAATATCAGTTTTTTATTATTAACAATGTTTGTAAAGTAATGAATTTCTTGTGAGATGAATTTTATTTAAGAAGAAAAAGACAATAACGTTTTCAATCCATGAATGTTTGTTTTCGAGTTACATTTATTCTAGGAAATTTTTTTCGTAGTTTTCTTCTGATCACATTTGAAATTGATTTTCACGATCTAAGTTCTGAATTGAACTAGTTCATTCATTTTGAAAGTATACAATTTTCTAGTATGTTCTATTTTTGAAACATAAATATAAAAATAAAATTTTCAATAATGGTATTTGAAAATAGAAGATTTTCGAAAATTTAATACTTCGACCATAAGTTGATCCTATAGAGTATACTATAAGTGCATAGTTAGTACTCGAAGGTTAGGATTGAAGATGATCTGAAACAAACAACGGTATTTTCATTGAAAATGTTACGAAAATGGGTAGAACTCATAGATATGAATCATTTTCTTTTTGATTTTCTCTAATCTCAATATAGTGAACTAAGACTCATCTCAAAAGCAATTTACCATTTGAGGAAATTTTCTCATTATTAGATTAGCTTACATAATCATTTTGAAGAGTATCTTCAATAATATAAATTGTAACACACGCTTCTAGGTTGAACTGTATGTATAGACATATGTAATAGAATGCAAACTTGTTTCGGAGATATTGACTAAAGTAACTGAAATCTATCTCTCAAGCATAGATTGCTTATGTAGCAATTTGATACGACTTCAAGATCAATAACATTGTTGTAGATAATTACAAATCCACAAGTGTTACTTCCATAACATTTTTTTTCTATGATTCTTGGTTAGAACTACGACCAGTCAAGAATCAAAAAGAAAAATAGTGAAATGAAATATAGATCTTGTTTTCATCCTTACTCTCATATTATTCTTCATCATCTTGATGCTATCCTTCGTTAGCAAGAATATCTATCGGGGCAGTAACAATCACGTTACCACATAATTAAACATTGGAGAAGTCAGTATTCTTTCAGAGTCGATCTAGTCCGACTATGAAGTTTTCTGTTTATCGGGATTGGGTCCAAAAATGTTGAACTTGAACGGCTTTAGTGTTCTGTAGTCTATTTTCCGATGAAAAACTGATGGTAAATTATTCACGTGGGCTAGTGAATGGGATCTGTGTGGCTCTGTAAATTAATAATTTTTTTTTGTAATTTTTTTAGGTTCTTGTCTCTATCCAATCTCTGATATTTGTACCTGAACCTTATTTTAATGAACCTGGTTATGAACGTACACGTGGTACTGCAACTGGTACTGCTCAATCGCTTGAATATGATGCTAATATTCGACAAGCAACAGTTCGATGGGCAATGCTTGAACAATTACGAAATCCTCCTGCTTGTTTTACTGATATTATACGGCGACATTTCTTTTTTAAACGAAGTAAATATTTAAAAATAAATAAAAATATAATGTTTTTTTTTTCGTATTTATCTAGATGAAATAATTGATCAATGTGAAGCATGGATACGTGAATTACAAGAAACATCATCAACAGAAAAACGTATTAGTTCTTCTATAAGTCAACATATTGCATCACTTATACGTCACACAAATGATCTTAAAAAAGAATTAACTTCTTTAACACTACCTGATGATTTTGTTATTCCATCTGAATTAACAACACTATTACTTAAAACATCATCGAATAATAATAATAATAATGTAACAACAGATCAAGTAATACCTTCTTGTTCTTCAATTTCTTCTACAACTACAACAACAACAGCAACAATAAATATTCCATCAATATCGGATACAAATAAAAAATCCGAACAAATAATAACTTCATCATCAACTGATGAACATTCAATACAAATTAAAATAGTACCTAATCTACAATATCAATCATCTATATCATCAGCTGCTGCCACAATTGAATCACCAGCAACATTAATTGATACAGAAACTCAACAATCATCTAATTCATCAGCTGATCAATATGATCAACAACAAAATCAATCACCATCAACAAATACAAATACATATGATATAACTATAACACATTCAAATAGTTTAATATCAGATTGGACATCAACTGATACACCAAATGTGCCATTACCTGATGATGGACTTATTTATGATGATTTACTTGATGATGAAGATGATTTAGATGATGATTTAGATATAGAAGATATGCTTGAATATGAAGGCGAGATACCTGACGGTTATCCTGAAGATTTTTATTGACTTCATTTTTTTTCTTTTTTGTGAAAAAAAAGCCGAGTGATTGATTTATTGATATTTGTGTTCTTCTTCTCCTCTTCTTTTTCTTCGTCTTCTTCTGTACGTATTCTTTATTCTCAATAAAAATTAAAAAAAGAATTCTTTTTTTTTTTCTTTCGTTATTTCATTTGCGTTATATCGGATTATGGTTAACTTGTGTTATTATTAAAGTAAACAATTTGTAACGCTCGATAACAATATTCAAAAGAATATAACCCTTTAAGTTCAGTATTTTTTACTAAATAAACATGAAAAATACAACTAATTTATTATATGAATTTGATTGAATAAAACATCAAAATATTAATACATTTTAGATATTTATTTCGACATTAGTTGAATGATACGATTGAGAAAGGTAAGATATTTATTATTTAAGATATAAGCTGGTAAACTAAGCTGATAGCGCAGTCATAGAAGTAATTATAGTATAAAGACTAAGTTACAGCGTTTATCGATAAAGTCCATTGAAGTCTAATGTCTAGATTTAGATTCATTGGCATTCATTTTCTAACATAATCTGATGTATATCATAAGCTGAAGCAAAATCAAAGCACAAAAAAATATTAATTGAAGAATAGATATATAGTCAAATATTTTTGTAAAAATATGATCGAACTATTTCAGAACTAATGAGAGACTCATTCTTTATGGCTTATCCATTCGATATTAGAAGTTGAAAGTTGTTATTTCATTTTAATACATGTCATGACCTATGAGTATATTTTCTAATTACAAGAAAAGATTCTTAAGCGCGGGTCTCTATTTTTAATTGACTTTATGTCAGTTTTGTAGATTGCGATTAGCTAATCACGATAGGATAACATGTTCTTCCTCTTGAGATTGTCTTTAAAGAATTATGACGATCTCAACAACAGAAAAAATAACTGTCAGCTGCTGTTTCAGACACTTTAATTTTTATGTTAGATTAGTTACTGTACACATTCACGCAGTCAGTATAGATAGAAATCCTAGCAATATCTATACTTTGAGTATTTCAATACCATTAATACTATGTTTTTTTTTAAATTCATCTATTTAGGGCACGTATTAAAAATGCATTCTGATCATGTTTCTACATAACCTATCTTATCTACTGTACTTTTTCACATATTAAAATAGTATTCTCAAAGAATTGTGATCAGTTTTTTGAAAAAAAAAATAGTTGAATTCCGTACATCTACAATCTTAATGATATAGAGATATTCAAAATATAGACGTAGCTAAGTTTTCAATTGATGTCGAATGTCTGTATATGTACAACCAATTAAGACACAAAATATTGAAAAGTTAAAACTATATTAATATAAAAATTAAAATTTCCGAAATAATAGCTTACAACAATTTCTTTGTGTAATTGAGATTGATATAGCTTCTCTAAAACAGCCTATGGAGAAAATATATTTTATTCGATCATAGATCAGCTCATCGAGTTCTACAACCTAGCATAAAACTGATAGAAAATGGGTACTCACACTTTATAACCTTCTCTCGTCAGAGCTGGATAAATCAAGTAAAATATGACATTTACATTTTGAAAGTTATTTTAAAAGTGAATTTTTCAGAAGTTTCTAAGATAATAAAGCAATATGATAGCCAACATTTCTAGGAAAATTCTGTGTTTAATCCTTGTTCAATATGTAGAACTCTTTTCTAAAAAGAATCGCATCAAATAATTTTTTTAACTAGAAGGGCATTTTAATTATCCTCTGTTCAGAGACATAATTCAGCACTGGAGACATGATTGACATGTAAAATGATTGAATCGTATGCAAAGAGATGGCACGTAGATAACTTTCAAAAGCAGTGAGAGCGTGTCAAATCCCTGCCCTTGTCTAACTCGATTTTCAACTATGACTTTAAATTTGAACTGAACTTATTTTAAAAGAAGCTTAATCTTTGTTTGAATAAGTTTCATTAAATTGTATTTAGGTATCCTTGGTGAACGACATCCGAAAGAATCGTACTCCACTCTATTATTGGTCTCTCGGTGCTGGTTTCATTACAACCGTATCTTTTATTACATTTGGTTATTTTTATTAGTAAGTAAAATTATTAAAACTTGATTTATTGAATTTTTTTTTTTTTTTTTTTTTTGTTCTTTCAAGTTCATATAAGATCAGACAAAGAACAAAAGAAGGTATTAAAAAAGGTGAAATTGAACGTATTGTCAGTACTGAAGGTTTAAATAGTCAAGGTTTGTTGAAAGATTCTACATGTTTTCGGCAATTTTTTTTGCATCATTTATTGTATTTTCTTTTTTTTGTTTAATCAGAATTAGAAAAAGCGATTGGTTTATTTCAAAAACAACGAATTCACGAACAAATTCAAGTTGATAATTACGAACGATATCAAAAATTACGTAATAAACGTCGTGAACAAGAAGGTCTTAGTTAAAAAAAAAAAGATATGTTTACACACTCAACAACCAAAGCATCAAATGAACATGTTAATCATATTGTAACATCAATTTTAAATAAAAGACAACGAAATGTTATTGAACAACAACAAACATTTATTCGAAAAAATACAGATGAAAATAATAAAAGAAATAATTATCTTGTGGATAAATTTACATCAAAAAAACGAACCATGTTTGTGATTTTGTTAGAGTTTGCTTTTTTCTGTAGTTAAACTTATTTTATTTAGTTCATCAAAAGAAAATGTCATGAATCCAATAACAAAACTTATTTCTCCAAAAAAGAAAGCTCCTATTGAAATTAATGATGATGATGATTTTATGACAATAAGAAAGCGCCCTAAAGTTATTCATCAACCAAAAATAAATTCTATTGTAAGAAAAAATGATTCAATTAAAGAATGTCTTGAATCAATTTTAATACAAATCGAAAATAATGATGTAACATGTCCTATTTGTAATCAAGTTTTATCCAACTTAAGTACTATTGATCAACGCCAACAACATGTTAATCGATGTCTTGAAGAACCTCAAATTATAAATGTACGTCATAGAGAATTTTTCATATAATCTACAGATTCTCACCATAAGACTTGATTTACATTTACTAAAAATTTTCACTGATGAGAAAACTACTTGAATTGATTCATTCATTTTTTGAGTTTCTATTTTTTACCATGGATGTAGAATCTTAACATTGTAATACTTGTGTAATAAGTTCGGCATATGATGTACTGATCTTGAATTATGGTCGATGTGAATTCATAAGATTATGCTAGAAGATGTAGCTAGATGTTATTCGAATATATCTTTGTCCAGATATTAGATTTGCAAAAAGTAAACACGTTTCATAGGAAAGACACGATAAGTAAATATGTCATAAACTTATTATCTCGAGAAAGATAGATTCGTTTTTGCTGAAACTTTGAGAGTATTCTACCGTGTGTACTAAAAATCATGATCACTTAATAAATACATATAACTTCACTACTAATCAAGCTTAATCTAAACCTTTGTTTTTATTTGAAAGAAGAGACTAGTAAGTTTTTCTTCTTGAAGACAAAGTTCAACAACACTGTAGTCTTCCTTTGGATTACTTGAAAAATTAATTTTCACCTAGAAACTTTGCACCACAATAAGTCTCCATGAGACCAGTTGAATATGAAAGCTTTCGAACTTTGAAATTCTTTCTTTTCTTAGATACGAGTTTAAAAAAAAAAAGATTATTTTTCACGACAATCATGGCGTAATAAACGTTGATCTTTCATATTTTTTGGATAGGAACAATGGATAAACGTGACATTTTCAGCATCGGCTAGTCTTATTAAGACTTCTTATCATGCAAAATTTCAACCTGAAATTCGAAAGTCAATTTTCCAAGTAATCCGGAGGAAGATTCTAAAACAAGAAATATCTCAGTAGAAATAAACTTATTGCACTAACTCTTTTTACGATGATATGAGTTTATTAGGATCTACATTATGCACATAGTCTTAGCTCGAATATTAAAATATATTTGTGAAGTTCCTCTCGTATGTAATGGATGAAATGATTCTTTTGTTTCATATTCTTGATCTGTTTAATTTCAGTCTCAGTTATACATGTATCTCGAAGTCAAAAAAAAAATTGGGTCCCAGAGTCTCATATCCTAGAAGACTTTCACGAAAACTACTAAACTTTATGAGAACCTAATAAATTCTAGTAAAATACTATGTAGTTACTGTAGAGTTCATCAGGATTCATTTTATTCTCTTTTGGGTATCCGTTCAATTAGCTATAAACTTTAATATCCATTTATCTATTCTTATTTAGGTTGAAGCAAAACATCAAAAAACTTTATTATCTTATACAAAACCTTTATCTACTATTCGAAAACCAACAACAGCAACAACATTATCTAATTTCAAATGTCAAATTTGTGGAATGTCATTTCATGTAAAACATACTTATTTATCACATCTTAAAAAATGTTCCAATCAAAACAGTGTTCAATTAAAACATGCTGTTAATTTTGCTGCCAAAACTATAGCAAATATCAATGAAACAAAACCAATTACTACAGTAAAGAAACAAATAGGAACTAATATTAAAAATCGAATTATTAAAATGGAAATACCAAAAACTGAAGATGATGAACAACAACAATTAGTAAAATTTAATAAAAAAAAATAGTTTTAAATTAATATTTATTTTTTATTAAAGGCAATCGCACTTTCAACTTCAATTAAAACTGCTTTAGAACCTCCTAATGCTTTCGATATCCTTCAAGCTGCCTCAAAAAAAGCCAAAACAATAGAGTAAATTTCTTTCTTTAACTTCGATCTGGTAATGAATTCAACCTTCTAAATTTAGTTTATTAACAACACCACTGTGGAATGTCTCAATGAACGACAAACTAAAATTATGTTCAACACGTTTATCAAATCTATGCGAACGCCTTATTACAATAATATCTTCAGAAAATTCATATAAATTTCCTGTAAGTTCTCTTCAAGTTATTTCTCAAACAAATTTTGGTCACGTCAATTGGTGGAATATAACAACAACTGATCCTCATGATGATGAAGTAAGATGCCAATAATGTAATATGCGAGTGATTTTTTTTTTTCGTGCTCATTTATATATAATTTAATAGAAGTCGACGATCTAGTCATGAGTATAGCGACTTTTACTACCATGGTTTAATTAAAAATCGAAATAGATAAAAAATATTCTGAATAAGTATAAAAAACTACGTCGAATCATAAACGTTTCAGAAATCTTTTTTTTTCTCTGCAAAAATTCAAACCTTAGGAAGATTTCTGTAAAAAAGAAATGTGAGTTCGTAGTAACCAATGCTACATTTTCAATCATTCAAGTTTTGTACAATTCTTTTCAAGCAAATGGTGATCAAATCGAAATAAAAACTATATATTCGCGACCAGCTCGTCGAAATTCATATATAAATGAGCGAGAAAAGAAATTCAATCGAATTTTGTATTATTTGCATCTCAAAAATAAAAATAATTTATTTTTATTATATATCATTTTTTAGGTCCCGATGACGCAATTAGCTCGAATACTTGATGATAATGATGATGAACTAACGATATGATTTCATCCAGTGATAATCTGCTTTTTTTTGTACTTTTTTCAAAAGAAAAACAAAAAAGAAATTTCGATAATTTAAAGAAAAGAAAAGAAGACTAAATAAACATAAGATTCAATAGTTTTTTTGTTTGTTGAAGATAATGATGATGATAGATATTAATCAAGATAATAATAATGATGATGATGATGATGATAATGATCGAACAGAAACTTATACACCACCACCACTTGATGAAACAAATGATTTGAATAATGATAACGAAAAAGAATATAATTGTAAAGATACAAATTCCATCAAACAACAATCAATTATAATATTAGATGATAGTTCGGATGAAGAAACAACTACAAAAAAACATATTAATAATGAATCAAGTAATTTATGATTTTATTTTGCATTTCGAAGAAAAAATAAATAAATTTTATATTTTAAAGTTGATAACTATTGGGATCAATGGCCACAACTCGATAATGGATTGAACGAGGAAGAACGTTTAAAACTATATTCCATGCCTGATATTGATATACCTCCTTCGCCTCCACAAGACATTATTTTATCTGCAGATAAAAAAATTTCTACAACAACGGAAAACAATATTCTTGATATTTTAACTCTTCCATCATCATTATTAACATCTAATCAAACTGATCACTGTAAAAGAAAAAAATCACCAGCAAAACGAAAGAAAAAAAAGAAACCAATGTCTGAATATCGAGCACCATCACCATTTTCACCTAAGCCAGATTATAAATCAATGGATATTGAACAATTAAAAAATCATGCTACGCGTTATGGTTTATCTACAACACAAGCTAAAGGAAGATTGATTAAAATTCTTGATGAAATTTATAATTTTACTCATCAATATGAAACCGATACTGATTATGAATTTGATACAAATGAAATTAATGTTCCAAAATATAATTCAAATAAAAAAGATTTATGTCATACGCCACCGACACCAGTAATTATTTCTGATGTCAAAAAACTAAAACAACGAAAAGCTATTCATCAAATGAGTTCTTCCGATGAGGCTGACGAACATCCACCACCACCACCTTCAGAAACGAAACCAACTCCGATAACAACAGAAGAGAATAAAGATGATAATCAATCAGATGAGGATGATACAGATCATGAAGGTCGTTTTCTTGAACTTACAGTTTACGATCTTTCATTATCAACAACATCCTCTAGTTCATTATCGATTATCGTTACTTCACCTACTCATCCTTCAAATGATGAACATCTCAGTGATTCACAGAGTAATATATGGTTTTCAAATTTTCTAATTAATTTATGAATTGTTAGACATACCAAGATAATAACGTGTCATCGTAAAGTAGTTTTAAAAAGTGTTCATTCATTCTTTAGTCTGTTTAAGCAGTCTCCGAAGTAGATTAGGATTAAAAATTGGTGTTTTTTCCGAATATGGGTTGTCATTTTTTGTAAAAATTCTAATTTAGGATTTATGAGTAGATCTTTTAGAAGCATGAAAATTATGTTTGAATGAAGAAACTTAACGATTCTTGCTGCTACAGTATCCTTTACTACATACACTATATGATTGGTTTTTTGTGTAGAACTAAAAGAACCAGGAGTTTCAGTAAAATCATGCAGAAATACTCGAGCTTACTTTGCAAGTCCGTTTTCCATAGAAATAGAGAGGATTGCCTAAATTGGCATGGTATCCCTTACTAAAACACTCGCGTTAACAAATAACTTAGAGCTAACTAATCATTAATATATCATTTTATTGAGACATGCTTTCTCTTTCATTCGATGTATTTGAAATATTTTTCACTCGTAAATTAGAAATCCTAGAAAAAATTTGAACACATATTCTGAAAGAGTACAAAATTCTGATAGTAACCCCATGTTTTCAACTATTTACAGACCTCTTGAAAAAGCTAAGAAATGTACGAACATTTTGTCTAATTATATTTTGATCACTCGTTAAATAGGGATGGCCAAAAGTAACATAACACAGCATTTTTTCATTGTACATTGTCAGTTAGATCTCATATTTATATCACATATACTAGATGACATAACTTAAAGATGCAGCATGTGATCAGTATCTAGCTGTAGTAATCTATTCAAAAGCGTACAAATACAGGGCGGTCAAAAGTAAGAAAGCGCGTTTAATAGTTAAAGTTTTGCTGTCATAACACATACTATTTTATCTCCTCTACTACTTACTTATATATGTGCTAGCACTGGCATTTGCAGACAATAGCACAAATAGTTTACTCTTATATCTATGGATTCATTTTTTGTTCTCCGTATATAAGTACTGTAGTAGGGGAAATAAAATAATATATGTTATAATAGCAAAACTATAACTGTTAAACGCACTTCTTTACTTTTTACTGCCCTGTATTTGTACATTTTTGAATAAATTACTTTAGCTAGATACTGATCATATGCTGCATCTTTAAGTTATATTACCTAGTATATGTGATATAAATATGAGATCTAACTGATGATGTAGAAAGAAAAAGTCGAAAAAAAACTGTGTTAGGTTACTTTTAGCTCGCCCTATATAATATTTTTCACCTGTCATACTATAATAGATTGCCTATTTTGTCTTTTGTATTCTCTGAAATGTAATGCAGTACCTCTTCTTTCGTATTTTAAAAGGAAATTATTTTTCAGCAACTAATGGTCAGTTTTTGGTTCTTCAAGACTATTTGAATCTATTGAATTTGGGGTCATCTATAAGGAACATCTGAAACAAACAAGAAAGAGAAGACTCAGAGAAAATCAGATAAGTTCGGAGAGAGAAGATTGAAACGCATATAGACATTTGAACATTCGTTTAGAAACTTTTTTTTTTTTTTTCACGAAACTTTGACGTTAAGTTAATTTGAACAGTGCTTTCTTAAGTATTTCATATATGAATTGCATGGTGTTTCACTTATCAATGAATGAAGTATATGAACTGTAAAATGTATATTTTACTTTTTTGTCTGATATGTATTTACAACGAAGGATCCGATACTTGAATCTCGTTTTATACCGGATGTCTAGAGCACGATAAGGTCGAAATTGGACAAGTCTCGACTGGGAAGATGGAGATACAGAAAAGGAATTCTTGATCTGATATCCTTGATGGATGTCCTCTTCTTCATTCAAGAAGAGTGGAATCTATCGTAATTAATCAATGAAACAACTCTGAAAGAATTTTTTATCAATTTATAATGTCTTCAATCCGAAAGGCTACGATCATCTAAACTAATTGAATTCACCATGACGAACTTAAACAAGAAATCCAAATCCTCATTTCGTCTTTTTGATATTGAAAACATTGATGAGATTTATTCTACAGTTTTACATACGATCCTCTATTTGACCTGTCTTATATATATTATGACTTCAATAGAATATTTAATACCTAAACTGATTGTTATATCAGAGTATACTATATTATATAATTTCATATTATGTAAAACAAAATTACTATGATACCTTTTCTTTTAGAACCACTCAGCGAAAATTGTTCTCAATCAAATACAACTAAAAAATTGAAACCAAAAAAGAAACCCTCAACACCAATATTAACTTCCGATTCCGATGCAATATCAACAAAAAAACTTCCAAAAAAACCGAAACTTCAAACTCCTACGATTCCTTTAAAAGAAATCGTTTGTAATTACATTCAATCAAATTCAATGTTACATGCTCGTATACTTTGTTATGAACCGATCGATTTCGAAGAATTTCATAAACAAATAAAAACAGATCTTAATCTTAAAATAACATCTAAAGAATTAATGCATTGTCTTGATGATCAATGTATTACATTTACATTACGTTCAAGAAAAGGCGCTTTTACCAGTGTAATGAGAGCTAAACGACGACACAAATAATCTCTTTTTCTTTTCTTGTCTTATCAATAAATCTAGTCTTTAAAACAACAGAAAAAAAAGAGTAATAAACTGTAAATTATTTCAGATGTCTACGACACCAACATCATCAACAACAATAACAACAAAAAAGGAGAAAAATGAAGATCAATTTGAACTTGAACAACAATTTATTCTTCGAATGCCGCCAGTAATTTTTTTCAATTCAGTTTAATTTTTTTTCAAAATTGTTTTTATTTCCTCAAGGGTGAATATGGAACACGTTTACGTGAGTTAATTGAATCTGGCGATGACAAAATTCGTGAACGTCTTTTTTTTGATTTAAATCCTGAAAGAAGACATGGTCGTGTTAAATTTGATGATACTGTTTTTAAAGCTACCCTTTATGATTTACCATGTATAACAGAAACATATAAAACATTTGATCGAAAAACTTTATATAAAATAGCTGATTTAGCTCAAGTAAACAAAGAGTTTGATTTATTTTTAAATTCGAATGAAAATTTAGATTCTTGTTTGTCGATTACCGGGTGATCTTAGTTCAAGTGATGATGATGATGATGATGATGAAACAATGAAACGATCAAATACAAATGCAACAACAATATCTGATGGTGGAAATGAGAAAAAAAAGAAAGAAAAAGACAAAGAAAAAAAATTTCAATGGCCACATGGATGTATAATTTTATTTTAATCAAGCAAATTCTTTTTGTATTTATTTATGTATTTAATAATTTTAGTAACACCACCATTGAAAAATGTACGAAAGCGTCGTTTTCGTAAAGTAGCTCGACAAAAAACTCAAGATCGAGATGAAATGGAACAAGAAGTACGACGCTTATTTCGGTAAGAAAATTGGTTTTTGTTTTTATTTTAAAAAATAAATAATTGAATAATTTTTCAAGAGCTGATAATGAAGCAATTGATGTTAAATGGGAAGTAATTGAGGATGATCAAGAAATAGAAGTTCATAAACTAATAGATAAAGATCCACTTGGTATGAAGAAATTAAGAAATTCTTTTTTTTTTTGTTTAAATATTTATTTTTATTTTTAAGAACATACTGATCTATTTGGTGGTGCTGTTAGTGAATCCGATGAAGAAGAAACATCACAGAAAGGTTTGTAATAGATTTACGGATCAGAATATTGATTAGAGAATGTCGCGAGATAGTTTTCTTCGTTCTGTCCTGCAGAATACAGGATATTTTCACTCAGTCAACCTATTTTGCAGGGCGCAAGGTAGGGGATTAAAAGTTTGTCTTGGCAGGATACGACTGGTAGGACAAAGGACTCTCCTGCGGCCGATCTGTAAGATGATCTTTTTTTTCTATTTTTTAACAAAAATATGAAACTTGTCTGTATACGCGAGGTACGATATCAAATATCATAGATTCTTTATTGATACAAAAATCATGTACAATAATCATATTAATAAACCTTACCACATGTTGTCCTGTAGAGACGAAATAGACAATAAAAAAATACTTGACAACCATAAGATAAGCAGAGCAATAATAAAACAAGCATAAAGATACAAAAGTCAACATGTAATCCATATAAAACAGACGAACAATGAAAAGAAAGAATAAGTCTTCTTTTTATTAGTTTTTTCTTAAATTTCTCATAAGAACGGATAAATAATATTATCAATCTGATTTGATGATAGACGTGTTCGTCTTTGAGTAAATGTCAATTCAGCTGAGCTAAATAAATCTTCTGGTGAAGCAATGGTCGCTGATATGGCATGTACTGTTCTGGTTACTATTGATAATAATGAAAAACCATGACGAGTTCCACTCTGAGACCAGAACTTCATTGGTTCGTGCTCAGTTAGGTGATTTGATTGTCCTGCACAGCCCAAGGATTATCCTTCAGGCTCTGCATCCTAAAAAAGTAGATTGTCCTGTTCTTGCATGTGCAGGACCAATGTAAGACAAAATAGATCATCCGCAGGACCTGCAAGATACACGTCCTGTGGCATATTCTTATGCCGATTTTTAACACAATTAATTTTGCTTATGTTTAATTGTAATAAGTAAAATGGATGACTATTGATGTCTTATTATTCGAAATTTTTATTAATTGATAATTCATTAGTAAATTATCTTGATTCATTTTACCATTTTTCTAGCAATGACATTTTAATTTAAATGATGTTGAAAAACAGTCATTGTCATTTGTTGTTTTAGTAAAAATTTATTTCAGATAAAAATTTGATTAAGTTCAAAGTAGCTTTAAAAGTATATGGTAACATTTATTTAATAACTTTTTTGAAAATTACCACAAAAACAATTAATTGAAAAATAATTTTTGACGTTTCGACGGTCCCACTGCCATTATCAAGACAAAAGTATAATGAATAATAAACATATGTAAGAATCAAAGAACAAAAAGAGATCAGTCATTCGTTAGTTTTTTAAACTAGAAACTTAATATATACCTTTACCATGGAACGAGCTACTGTTATGAGCGCTCACAACAATAACTATTACATTCCCATAGCTTGTATTAGTTACTGTTTGATTTTTACTTATGCTTCATTAGACTATTACCCTACTATGTAAACAATTAGTGGCACTAAATAGATTTCTTTGTTTAATGTTGATTGTTTATTTAAGGTCAATAATGACTCTCGTACCTATTATCGATATGTTCGGCGTCTTTACAAAAATGTTTCCAACCTATTCAGTTCGTTTCATATCCGATATCTATTTCTTGTATTTTTTCAGGGATGATTTGATCTCCTTTTTTTGTAATTACATTTTTTTGTCAATATTTCATTTTTTTTGAAAAATATTGAGTACTTTTTTCTTTTCTTTTTTTCTAGTGAGCGTAAGATAATGGGATTTACTACTTGAAATAATAGTTGAGACCCCTAATGGTGTCATTTATTTCAGATCAGCAAAGTGCTCATGAAATCTACTAGCTTTCCAAATGAGTACAGCTACATTCGATACATCACAATTTGAACAATCAACTAAATATGCAACGCTTAAATAAAGTTCTTTAGATATTCGGTTCTTTATGTGGGCTAATTTCGATGTATGCCGAGGTAATTGATGTATGAACACCAGTTGTAGTTAAGAATTTATCAGTTTGGCAGTATTATTAATTCTTTTCCCTAAAGTCTTGTTTGCTTTTCCTACGAACAAAATATCAACAGAGATTTATGGCGTTATCTTTGTCGTAATATATACTTAGAGTTTCACTTGAGCGTCTATCAGATTTTGAGCTGTCCATTTTTGATAGAAGCTAGCTTAATAAACTCAAATTCTTCTTGCATTCGTTCGAAAGATGAACAGATCCTAATTGCTCTTTAAATCATGCGACTTGTGGTGCTGACTTTATAAGTATCAGGAGTGAAAGATTGTCACTTGTAAGTAAGTCAGTATAGGTAGCTTTTCTCTAAACAGTAATGAAAAATGATTTTGTAGTTAAGTTGTATAGTGTATGAATAATTAAAATATCTAGAACGGAATAAAAACTATCGATCTCACCTTTACTGGTAAATCCTATATGTCTCGATCAAAACTATAGAAACTTTTATTTAGCTTGTTGATGTCTCCGTCTTTCTTTAGAACAACATAGGTATCATCTGCAAATCGTTTTCAGGATAACAGACTATTATCTTTTAATCAAGGCTTTAATTTTCTTTATAAATATTTATTTATGGATCCTTGAACTATGGAACGAGCGGGAAACCTATAAATAGCGGTTTGATTTAGTATAAATTTTTGTCATTGTGAACCATGTATGCTTCTTTTGTTTCTACTTCCAAAAGTCATTAGATTTAATAGCACTGTTTACAATCTATACACCAATATTCTCTTGTTTCTCTACTATAGATGCAAGAATGTTATGGCCCATAAAGCTTTTCAAGAATCAACCCTATCGTTCGTCGTGATGAAACCTTTGTAAATAGACTTGTAATGTCAAAAGAAACTAATTTTATCTTGAAAGTATAGATTTTCAAATAATGAAGCTCGTCAATAGCAGAATATGTGTTTTTAATGATGAAAACAACTCTGACGTATATGCTCTAGTTTTTTCGCTAATAATTTTGCTACATTGTATTTAAATGTTCCTAAAAACAGCAACAATTTGTCTTAGAGGTATTTTTACTTTATTATCTTTGGGGTAATCTATGAATTTTCTCCGATTATGATTCTGTTGAATGCAAAAGTTCATACTCTTCTTCAGTCATAAAAATTTATTCTTTTAATTAGATAGTTTTAGACTTAATTTGTCTTCTTCTTCAATTGTAGTGTACTTTTCAATTCTTTGAAAAAATATATGCGTCATTTTTAAGCGTCGTTCATCTTTGTTTTACATAATCTACCTTATTAATTATTACTATTTCTTTCCTTAATCAGGTCTAGTAAAATGTATTGATTTATCTTTGGATATATTTTTTAATTGCATAAAGTTCTTTTTTTATAATTCCTGTAGAAATATGGCAGTGACTTATTTATTAGTCTTTTCACGAAAACTGTCGCAGGCTACTGAAAATTTATTGATATATTGTAATTGAGTAGGTGTCGTATTATACACTATTTGTTCTTCTTTCCTGTCGCTGTCGTGTCTTAGTAGGTTTACACAGCAATTTTCTATGTTACTGATAAATAAAAGACTTTTCATTTCTTTTTCTATTTATATACACGGAAAAATTATTAATAGGTGAAAATGCTGACCCCTTATCTTATAGATTTGTAGGATTTTCATAATGTTTTTCAGCTATTCAGTTCTTTCAATGAGTGTTACTCTACTGAAATGTTTTGTATGTTACTAGTTGATTTTTTAATTTTTCCAATTCTCCATAGAAAAATACGATTGAAGTCAAGATCAATCAGTGATTTTAAGTTTCTGTTCTGTTGATACAAGCGAAATGACTCACGACTTTTTGACTTTACTTCTTTTACAAGAATATGTTTGTAGTAAATTTCAATGACCTGTCGATAACATAGATAAGTCGATGAAATCTTGAATTGTACAAATATTGGCATCAAACTTTCATTTTTGCAACCTTTTAAAAACTTCAAGTGAACCATCACTTTGGGAATTTGAAGTTGAGACCTTCCATGATAGAATACATTTTTCGATATATCTGGCCCGTACGCTGCCAAATAATATGCTGATAATTTTCATTTTTTATGAGTAATAATTTCAGCAAAGACTTATTGAGTTTACAATAATTTTGAAAAATTTATTTGAACACTTATTTACTAAACTATTTTGAAAATTAGACCGAAAAAAGTCTAATTTACGTATTTTGGGTAGTATCACTAGTACGGCTCATCGTAGAGGTATTTGCTAGATTTCTGGTTGGAGAAACTAATGTATAGCTGATTTCTTTTCGTTCTTTTGTCCCTTACATACGTTCATTACTTATTATACATCTGTCACGATAATACAGTAGAACTATTGCAAACACGACAACATATCTAGATTAATATCTCTTGTGCTAATTTTCAAAATAACTTATAAAATAAATGTTAAAATATACTATTAAGCTATTGCAAACTTAATCAAATTCTCACCTGTAATAATTCCTCATTAAAGAAAGAAAATTATTCCTGATTACTCTTGGCAATGCTTTGTTTTTTCTTTCCAATATTATTTCAGATATCGATGATAAAATATATTCAAATGAGCTAAAATTTAATATAGAATAGTTCTGTATTCAAATAAGATGGGCTGACAGATCTTAACTCCTGTTGTTCATTTATTCAGTTATTTCCTATGAATATTACGATCATTGTTATAGACTAACTAGTTAGAGAATCGCTATAGGAGATAAAAAGTTTTTGAGACAAGACATCTTTAACTAGGTAGAATTGACTGATAGTAGATACCACTCATTATAATTCATTCCTCTCCTCATGTGGTTAGTTTTCCACCACAATCAACGGTTCGAAGGATTTACTCCTTTTCTATCACGTTTTTGTTACAAATTGTCTATTAAATTAATGCTTTCTATCTTTAAGAGATCGATTTCAACTGAAAAAAAGGTCGATTTTAATATGCCACTGTATATTGTGTTAGATGGAGTCATACTTTTTCCTTTTGATTAGGCTCTCTAGCTAATGAAGATTTTTCTAGCTTCATCTTTAATAAATAGTCAAGCTCGAAAATTAATCGACAACAGCTGATGTAGTTATGCACAGACGGCTTTAGTGAGCTTACGATAACAAAAGAATGCTGTTTCGACTGAAATCTAACATTTTTCGAAGAGTTCAAACATATTCATACACTGGGATACAAAAAAATGAAACATACGAATCACGGTTAATCAGTGGTTTTCGAGCGGTTTGAATGGGATGGATTGTTACTTTTTCTCTTGAATTATGACTATTTTACTGAACTCCTAGTCGAGTGTAGAACATATGGTAGAAAATCTAATGTTAAAATTTTGACCAGAAATTTTACCCGCAACATGATCTTATGATCCCTATCATACTCCTAAGGTTTCAGCAAGACGAATGTTGTCTTTTTGGAATAACAGATTTATGACAAACATAAATTCCCTCGTTTTTTTTCTAACATATGTGCATTGCTTAACAAACTGTTATTTCAGCAAAAAAAACATTCATTCTAGCTTTAACTTAAAATGTATGACAGAGATCACAAGAACCCTTTGTGGGTAAAATTTCAGATCACCCTGATACTATTGACTTTTCTATGATTGTCCTGCACCCAGCTAAAAAATTCAGTAATATGATCATAATTCGAGAAAAAAAGCAACAAGAGAACGAATTATCATAGGTTGGGTCTAGTCATAGTAGTAGAATCCATCGGATTCGAATCTAGAGATTTTCTATGGACTGGATTCGAGATCGATCCACCGGACCATACTCTAAAAGTAATATTCAATTATGATTTGATTATTATACAAAGATCATTGTCAAGACTATCTGAGAAATGTGACTAGTATGCTAGTAACAAAATTCAAAGCGAATATCAGACTTGTATTAGAAAATTTCGTTGAAACTTGGAGTACGATTCGGATCTGGATTTGTAAAACGTTGATGAAGCGAGTGAGAAAATTTTGACCTCGATTAGCTCTAAGTCTAGGTTTGGAGCCTATCCAATGAATTCTACACTAAAATTATAAGTGAATCATAATTTGATTATCGTTATAAGATCATCGTCAAAATTGCTTAGCTAATGCTAGGTAGTACTAGTTGTCGAAAACAAAGGATTTCGTGTTTTCGAAATGACAATCAGATTCTGAATAAAAAGTCTCAATGAAAACGTTTGGAATATAGTTCAGGTTCAGATACAAAAAAGTGTAATAAATTACGTTAGGATCCAGAAAATTTTTATTTGTCTGAAGAAGTTTTCTCGTAAGTTTTAATAAAAAGAATTTTATTTTTTATTTAGATATTGTCGAGCATCATCATCAAGCTCTGAATATCGATCAACGAATGGATTTTGAAGGTTTATTTAGTGGTGATATGGGTGAATTAAGCAATATGGATACAGCATCACACGTAAATCCAATCGAAGAAGATAATACTAATCAATCTCAATGGCAACAACAAGATGATTTAAATCTGGATGACAATACTACAACGGGTGGTTTATCACAAGAAACACGAACAAAATTAGAAGAATGTCAAAATGAATTAGATCGTTTAAATAGTGAAAAAACTAATCTTGATGCTCAATTAGCTCAGATGAATAATCCTGTACTCCGAGTAAATATCTATTGATATACTTTTATGTATTTGAAAAGAAAATATTGTTTTCTTTTAGAATATTCTATTAAAAAAAATTAATTCAATTCAATCAGAAATTGAACGTGGACAAATGGAGGTTAGATTTCTTTTTTATTTCACTATCAAAGATAATTTTTTTTCCTGTTCTAGTATGATCAATTGTCAAACATGTAATATAAACCCATCGTTTTCTTCTCTTTTATTTGTACATGAATAAAATAACCAAGAAAAAACAAACACTCGATTGATTATGCATTTGTCATAATCTCTTTAAGAATGCTTTTAAAATTGTCTATGAATGTGTCTGAATGTGTTGCAAATGTTCGTTTCAATTGATGAATTTCAATTTGTGATGATTGTTGTTTAATAACAAGTGCAAAGGCTGTTTCATATTGATCACTTGTTGATAGAACAAAATGACTAAGACTATAAATTTTAAACATAAATAAGTTAAAGAACACAAAGAAAAGTTAAAAAGAATAATTTTTACTTTTCAATTTTAACATGTCCTAATGGTTGATATGGATCTTTGGTTAAATCCCAATATTTAATATAACCTTGAGAATCATGTGCAAAAAATACACTTGCTCGACCGGCTGACCAGTTGCAACTAAGAACAATGGATGATGAACGAAATGCTTGTGGCCAAATTAGAATTGGTTCATCTACAATTAATTGAACTATATTGTTTTCTATCCTTTACTCCTCCTATTGATCACTAGAAACATTTTGGATTCCATCGTTCCGTCCGAAAAATATCGGTCTTACAAGTCGATAATTAAAAAAATTGCTTTTCAACAAAAAATTCACTACTTTTAGGATGTATTAATCTTTGAAACTTCTAATATCATATAGATTGAGGAAGAGGACTATTAATTATTTAATATACCTTTCAAAGATTTCTCTATACTTTGAAAGAATTACAGGCCATAAGATGCAAAATGAATTCAAAATAAATTCTATTGGTACTAATAAATAGACAGAGAGCAATCGAAATATAATATTACTATATGTGCTGTGAACATTATCACGTAAGCACTTCCAATAGTATTTAATATGAATAAAATGTCTTTATTGACTGTACCCCATATCTCAAAGAAAAATAGATAAATATTTGACAATATGTATCAATAGTAGATGTATTGTTTTATAATTAGTTTTTATGTAATAAATTCTTTCTTTTTCTATTACTCCAATACCATAGGATATAAGTTGCTTTTGCCTGGTAGAACGCATTGAGTTCAACATTTTCGTATTTGAACCCGATCTCGATCTGATCGGGTTCGAGATCCACTCGATGGACTCTATTATCCATTCAATACTGTCGTGAAGGAAAAATAAATCAGGACTTATCATGTTACTCAAGCTCCCTTTTCTTCGAATGCATAGTTACTAGAGTAATCAAAACTATCCTACACCAGGAGCAGAATATCTGATAGATCTAATCACACTATTGACATATTAGAGAGGTTAATACTTTGTCTATAAGATCATTCTATCAGTGCCTCTTGTAAAACTATTGTAACGATAGATAATGGGTTCACTTGAAAAATATTAATCTTATGTTTTGTTACCTCGCCCTGTGGTATATAAATTCAATTGACCATGACCAGTTCCAACAAGAAGTAGTTTGTTTATAATAGGATTAAATGCTAAGCAAGTTACTTCGATTTGCGATTCTAAAAAAGAAATTAAACAAAAAAAATTTAATTTCAATTAATAATTAGTTTATATCAAATGACCTATATCAGATGATATTCGAAGTTTTGATGGTGAACCCATTTCTCCATATCGTGTCATATGATAAACAGCATTCTAAAAAAATGAAAATTAATATTTTCAAATAAAATAAATAAATCAATAGACATACAGCATTACTGGCTACATAAAGATTGTCAACATCACTTATTGGACATGATAGATCATAGGCTTGAATTGAATCTCTATATAAAAAGATTCATTTGAGCATTTTAATAAAGAGATTGTCTCATTCTAACCTAGCCATATGTATCGATTGCTTAATTTGAATGGATGAAGTTTGTGTCATACGAACTCTTCCACCTGGTTTAAGACCTAAATCAGCAATGGATCCAGCTTCATCTGATTGCATTAATTCAACAACCGACTATTTCAAATAAAACCCTTTTTTGTTTATATACAATTAACAAAAATAAAAACTTTATTCGTACCCAAATAATAATAAGACCATCTCGATCGAGCGAAGCCAAAGAAAATGAATTCGTTGATCGATCAACTTTATTTGTCATACTTTTTTTATACAAATATTCAATTGAAGATACATGAAAAGAATAAAACAATAACAAATATCTGATTTACTTTGTTGTTCGCAGCGGTAATACTCGAATGACTTCATTATAATGACGATCATTAAATTGTATATTTGCTAAAGAAAATTTCTCTAATTTTCATTGTTATTTTTCCGTCTTTTTTTTACCTGTAGAAAATGTTGGACTACTTGGAATTGGACTTTGTGAACCAGGTTTATATTTATTTGGTTCACTTGTATCAAATAAAACTACTGATCCATCATTCTATTGAAAAGAATTCATATTTTATTGAAATGAAGAAAACTAGTAGTATCTATTTTAAACAAAAAGAACCATGAATATTCTTTGAATTGCCTTTGATAAGAACAAGATAGAGAGCTACCGTTTTTACCATTACAAACGGAATACAGGCATGCATAAATGTGTGCTGAAATTTAATAGGCCAACAATTGACCTATCCGCTGAGTTCTTGGTAAAGATTTTCAAAGACGATATTCTGAAGCTAATTTTCAGTTGACCTTGATTGTTAATATGATCAATAGATAGGAAAAATTATTCTCTGTCAATCTGTGCAAGGCTGATATTGCTAGCTTATTCTGTTCGACAGTACTAAGGATTTTATTGACACCGATTTCAGCCAATTAATCTGCGATTACCTGGTAGAATATCTAAACAAGGATGATGCGCCATGCTGAGTTGAATGGCGTTAATTGCTTTTCAATTCGAAATAATCAAACACTGTTCGTTCTGTATTTTCAAAATCTATCGCTATAGAGCATAGTAAGTCTACATGCTACACAAATTTAAATAATAGGGATAGATCATTTCGAATCCAAAAATAAATATCGTCACTTGACTCAACACGGTGAATTATTCCCTATGTCAACTAGCTGAAATCGAGAGCTTATAGAAAGTCCCATTAACTCTTGTATCCAACTAGTTAACAATGTTGATCTTACGTAGATAGAAAGAAAACAATTTTTACTATCTACGATCCACATTAACAATAAAAGTCAACTGAAAAATGGCCTCAGAATACCGTTTTTAAAATGTTCACTAAGAATTATTCTGATTAGTTCATTGCTGGTCAATCAAATTGCAATACTCATGGACGCAGCCAGCTGGGTTTTCTCATTGTTCTACTGAAAACCGTAGCTCACTATTTTCTTTCTGTCAAAAGTTATTCAAAAAATATCTACGGCACTTCTTTTAAAAGTCATAATAATTTATTTACACATCCAGCAAATAAATAAGCCAAAGACGAAGAACAACATCGAATTGATGCTTCACAACTTAATAATCTCAACGGTTTTTCAGGATCTCGTACACTATAAATTGCACCATAACTTGTTGTATACATCTAAAATATTGAATAAAGAAAACCAAAACAAATGACTTTAAATAAGAAAAAGAATTTAACAAACTGGTTCATAAAACACAGCTACTTGTTCAGGTTTATCTTGACAAAAGCAAACAGCAACAATCGATACTTCTATAATCATGTATATATATATAAAATAAATTTGAATGAAAGTTCTCCTTCTTCTTCTTCTTTTTTTACCTGATTTAAATGAAAGACCTGGAAGAATAGTAACTCCAGATGAAAAATTCAGATCAGATTCACGTTGCATTCCATCTTGTTCATCATTATCTTTTGATCGTTTTGATTTTGATTTAGTATTACTTGTTTGTTCTTCATCAAGTAATGCAAATATAAGCTAAAACAAACAAGACAAAAAAAAAGAAATCTTAAAAATATTAATTTTCTTTTATATACTTTTCCAGCATTAATAACAAATGTTTGATATCGTCCAAGATCGGTTTCTAATCGGAGCATACGTAATAATTCTTCATTCTCACGTGTTTTATTTACATCTAATAATTGGAGAGAAACAAAATATATAAAAATAAAATTTTCTTTTAAATTAACCTGAAAATTGATTTTCATCACTTGTATTTCCACTACCACATGCTGTATGTTCACTGTCACTAGGATGTTGTGTCCACATTGATCGTATATCAATTTCATCTGTTTGGGATTGAACATGTTCAGCATCATCATTTGTTTGAATTTTAACATTTGATGTCCAACTAGTATCACTATCAATGTTATTTGATAATTGATTTTTTTTATTATTTAAACCAATATCACGTATATAAGCAGCATGAGCTGGCATTGGTGCCATATCAAGAATATTAAATGATTGACGATCAAGTTCAATTAAACGAGATAAATCTTTATAACGACGTCGAATACGATCAGACAAATCATGAGAATGAAAACGACGTGAACTTGTATAAACTTGTGTATCATCATTAGCACTAGATGAAGGATAAGTTCTTGTTGAAGGTGACTAATTAGGTGCAAAAAAAAAAGAAACAAAATTGTATTATTGAAATAAATGAAGATGAAATGTTTACTTCGTTATAAGCTGAACGAGACTTATCGTCTTTGTATGATGTAGAAGATTTCTGAAATGAAATTATTTCAAGGAAATCAAGTTAATAGAGATCGATTAGATAAAAATTATTTTCATTTTGTATGAGATTGAGATAACAAATTTCATAGGCTAACCTAAAGAAATATTTTTATTCAATAGTATTGAATATGAGTAAATATTTCAACTCTACATTTTAAGAATATTGTTATTGATTGTACAACAGCATTGTTATGTCTTCTATTAAGTTTAATATTACTCTCGCAAAATTTTTTTGAAAACGCTTATATAATATATTTATTATTGTAGTCTGATACATGTCGAGAAATAAATAAAAAGACAGCTTACTAAAAATGAAGAGACTAACTGAATAAAAGAACATAACAAATTCATAATATGTATGACATTGTGACAAAAGAAAGTCTAATTCCTGTGATCATGATTAAAAAATCATAAATTTTGCATATATTTAAATATTACAATCTATTAAGGGAATTCAAATCGAAAAGAATAATTAAGTATAAGTCCATAACCAACTTATCTATAACCTTTCAGGATCTACGTCAGATTGATGCTGATAACTTTTTAAGATTTATCTTGCGATAGCATAAATCACTTTTCGAGAATTTGTAGATGTGGTATCTCATACTATTTGACAGTCCATAATATCGACAGAGACAGTGTAGACTTCGAAAATTTCAAACGACTTCATAGGCAGGGTTAGGGAAAGCAAAGTTCAGGGGTAGGATAAGTGTGATATAAAAATGTTTAGTGTTGTTTATATTGCTAAAAATTTCTTTGTAAGTAACTTTGAAGACGATCCTGACATCTTTCTGGTTTAGCAGAAGTTGGCCGCTATGTTAAAGCAAAATGGAGTTTTGGTAAAGAAGAATCAGTATTGAACTGGCGGGACAAATGCTGATTTAGTTATCGATAACTTAGTATATTGGAAAGAGACTATTGGGTGCTCCGGCAAGTTTAGTTACAAGTGAACATATTTTCAGTGCAAATGGAAGAATTTTGAAAGAAAGAACATAGAATTGAACAGTGACATTGTTAATGACATTTTATTCTTACGAAACTTTTGAAGCATATAATAATTTTGTATTTGATTATTATTGAAAATCAATCAAATGTGCTGAAATATAATGAAGAAAACTGTGCGTTTTCATATGTCAAAATCTGGAAATCTTAGGATAGAGTAAGGATTCGAAGCTTTTAGGCTATCGTAAGCCGATGATACGAAAATTGCTTTAGACTAAGGTATAAGTTACGAGAAAGTCTTACTCTGCATGACCCTGTTCATAAGGCACCAAATCACTCCACGATGCTCCGAGAGACCTTTTCAGACGTTGGGAAGTTTATGAAACATGAAAAACCACAGATCTTCTAGTTTTAGCTTTACTCGAAGTACTCTATGTTAGTGGAGATATCGACCCTGTGTAATCAGTGTGTCAGTGACTCTAAGGTAAAACGCAAAAAAATGATAGGTAGTATTCATAGATAGTCTTCAAAAAATTACAGAAATAAATCTTCAATAATCTTCAAAAGTTACAGGTATCGATCTGACGTAGATTCCAGCAAGCTTTAAGTAAGTTATTAACCTTGAGTTGGCCATTGTTTATCAGAGAATTATTCAAACTATTGAATTTTTTATAAAGCGACTTATTCAAAAGAAACAGTTTGTAAAATACGGTTGTTTGAATCGAACAGTTCTCTAGATCAGATCGATTATCTGATCTGTTACGCTTCTAATCAAATATTATATTAAGAGGTTAACATAGAAATCGATTACAGAAAATAAAAACAACTAAGAAGTTCAAAGACTATTCCATCAAAAGAAGAAAAAAAACGCAACGACTCATTTTGTAGGTATGTATGTTGTAGACCGATCTCTCATTGATGTACAACATATATATTTAATTTATCAACAGATGCTCTCTTCCTCTTCAAACATATATAAATTCAAAACCGATCAAGTAAAAATAAGAAATCTATAATTACTTTTACCGGTGGTGGAATAGGTTCATCATCAAAATCATCATCATAATTCTATAAAAGAATATTTTTTGAGAACTAAATTAATCATTATAATCAAACCTGTTCGAAATCATCACTATAATTATCATCTTTTTCGATGGGTTTACTTTTCTAAATAAAAAATAATATTCAAATATAATGATTGAATTTCTCTAAAGAGGATACACACTAACATGTTTGGTAGATGGTGGTGGTGGTGAATCTAATGTTGGAGATTTAATTCGAGATGACTAAATTTAAAAATAAGATAATATAATAAACAGAAAAATAGTTACTTTATGTTTTCGACTATCACCATTTTCTAAATCTCGATTCTTTTAAAATGAAAAAAACAAAAAAACAAACAAACAGAAGCAGAATATTTTTAATTATTAAATTAAAAATAAAATTACTTTTTCTTTTCGTCGACGTCGTTCTTCTTCATATTCTTCTTGTTCACGTTTTAATCTTTCTTCTTCTTCACGTTTTAGTCTTTCTTCTTCTTCAAGTTGTTTACGTTGTTGTTTTTTACGTCGTCGACGTTCTTCTTCTTCAGCTAATGCTATAGCATCCTGATCAAGATTATTTGTTTTACTACTGTGTTTAGATTTTGGTCGATGTGATTCGGATTTCTATTAGAAGAAAACAAGCAACGATTATAATTAAATTTATTTTATAGAATAAAATACATCTCGATGACGTGATGATGATCCTTCTTGATCATCAGCTGTTGATCGATAATCTTTTGAACTTCGTCCATGTTTTTCTTCTCGATTATCACCCTAAAAAAAACAATAAGAATAATATCACAATTCAATATATATGATATAAATATACTTTGCTTGAATGTTTGGTTTTACTTGAATCACGACTCTAAAATGAAAAATAATGAAGGATTATTTTATTTTAAAAATGCTTGATTCAATTGTTCTATTCAATACTGTTGTTTTAAAGATTCATTTTTGCAGAATTCTATTCTCAAAGAATTAATTTTTTTTAAGATTACACATATATCTCATCTTTTGAAGATCAGAATTTATATAACGAACTAAACTATTCTTTTTTCTTATACATTGAATAAGAGTGCAAATTTCATACCTTTTTACTCGACATTATTCATAAAAAAAACAGCTGTTAGCAAATAAATCAACCATCGGATATTCTCATTCTCGTTCTGTTTCTTAACATTGGCCTCCTCTATTCAAGAGAACAAAAATGCATATCTAACTCAATCTGCCAAACAAAGATTGTGGCTTTATATGATTGGTTCATAATTATATATCTATTGTATGTATTCATTCATTCATGTCACATCATGTTAAAAAATTAAAAAAAAAACATCGTCACTCCAAAATTAGTTAGCTGAAGAAAACATTGAGTATCTCCGTCATCGTTTGATCAAATAGGCCGACTTTTCTATCAATGATAATGGGTTGTTCATGGTTCATATTCTCAAGAAAAGTATTGAAAAGAATCGTTACGATGTATTACTACTAACTTTGACATAGAAATGCAACTTTTCCTGATTATTTTCAACAAGTGGACTTTCCCAATTAATGTACAGCTTCTGAGTCCATACTTCGCCGAATGGTAGCAAACCATCTGTTGATAATAATTTACCAAGAATTCGTTCTTTTATGAAATTTTGACTATGATGCAGAATTGTTTGACAAAATCTTGATTTCAAATTTTGGAGCTGAAACTTTGCTGTAGCCAAGGTCTCGTGCAAAAAATTGCAGAATTTTTGCTTGTACTATTTACGGGATATCAATTTTTCAAAATCTTTACATTTTACACAATATAAATGGAGAGATGACTAGATTTTGAAAAACTAATATCTCGGAGATACTGCTACGAGAATTCTGAAGCTTTCTGTACGAGACTTTAAATGCAGCAAAGTTTCAGATCAAAATTTGAAACTAAGATTTTATTAAAAAATTTTGACTCTAGAACAGAAAATTCAACATCTGAATCAAAACTCTACAAGAACGATGAATCTTTTGGAAGTTATTATCAACTGGTGGTCTACTATTCTGTAGAGAAATATGAACTCAGAACAAGGAGGGAAAAGCGAGACTTCATAAGTTGGAGTACAGGTGAAGTATCGGGAAGTCTAACTGGAATCTAGATGACGTACGAGGAGTACGTACTTCAGCTGTACTCCGCTGTGCTTCACTACACTCCAGCTGTACTTCATTGTACTTCATCTGTACTCCACCTTATGGAGTCTCACTTTTCTCCTCCTTGAGTCAGAAGCTATACATTAGCTGAAGAGATTGCTAGCTGAAAGTTATCGGGAACGACTGTATTTTCATGTCGAGATCAATCGTAATACATCAAAACGATTCTTCTCAATACGGAAATGTGCTTTGTTGAATACCATATAAATGAATGGTCTTCGTTGTTAGTTAAGTACGTCTAGTAAATCCTACTATACTAGATACTATTTAAAGTACCTACTTCTGTTTGTATTGAAAACTATTGCTCTACTGATTTTTGCTAGATTTTATGACAATAATTCTATGGAAAAACCGTATTTTTCACGATAAGTTCTGTGTTTTGGTCTTTTTATTTGAATCGAAGACAATACAAAAAAAAACTAAAAAAGTTAGACATTTTCAAATAAAGCCTAGTATATATAAACCAAAGTTTCCGCTCTATGTAATGTGTTGCAGCTGAGAAAATGGAGCGGTTAAGAGAATGACTTCGAGTCTTTGCGATTCCGATATCTTATAAAAGGAAGCATTTGGAAATGCCGAGTCTGAGACAACTTTTGCTCTACTCATGAAGATTGATGTACTCTGAAAATTTCAAAATTTTCTGATGAGGCATTCTCCAAAGACTCCAAGGAGTGGAAGAGTTTCTTCAAGATACGAACATCTCTTGACATCAGTAAAAAAACAATTACCTTAGTTTGTTACACTATGATGAAGATATTCAATTTTTTATTCGGTTAACTGACCTTTGGAGACATTATATTTGAAATAAAATATTAATTTTTATTTATAGAAAAAAAAACCCATATGGCATCACTTGGTTTACATTTATTAAGTGTTGTAGTTGGTGTGATATTTATTTTTTTGGGTCATATAAAATTAACACCACAATTTTTTCCTGAATATCATACACAAATACGAAATGAATTTGGTAAATTAAATAAAGAATTTCCATTTTATCATTTAACTGGGTGGCGTCCATATGCAAAAAATTATCGCATAGCTGTAGGTGTTGCTGAAATGTCTTCAGGAAGTTTATTGATTCTTGGTGGAGGTTTGCAAAAAAAACGAAAACTTTATTGATGATATTTATTTTTTTTTTTTTCATATAGCTTTTTCACAATCAATGGCAAATGTGGTGTTACTTGTGATAATAACAAATATGATAATTGCTTTTCAAAAATTACATTTTAGTATGGAATATATTGGTGGAGCAATATTTCTTGCATTTTTACTGATATTACGATTGGTATTGGCTTCAAAATCAAAAACAGCTAAAGCTACTAAAAGAAATTTAGAAAAAAAAGTTGAATGAAGTTGTTTATTTTGAAATATTTATTTCAAAACTTCAATGACTTGTTATTTTGTTTTTCTTTCCTTTTCACTTCAGCTGTGTGTATTCGTCTTCTTAGGTTTATTATTTCTAATTGTATGGATATATATTTATATCTTTTATATCCAAAAGATAAGATTAGTTTAATATATGGTGATTATGATAATTTATTCGTTTATATTTTGTGGTGTTCTATGAAATAAACCATAATAACAGATATTTATTTTTGTTACTTATTTGAGATCTCATTTAATAAATGTCATGATTGCTAGCGAAGTAATAAGTAAAGACCTTTACTTTGACTAGAAAAGCATATGATATCGATTGACCTATAATCTATAACCATGCTGTGTTCAGACGAGGTAAAATATCAAGGTAAGAGTTGATCGACTTGATAACTATATGATTAGGCCTATCTATTTGTCAGAAAATTATTCATGTTCTCAGTTATGCGAAAAACTATTCTTTTCATAATGAAAGATTAATAGCTTGAGAAAATCAATGAGTGATAGAATGTATTGAATAGTTAGAAGAATCTTATCTGATTAGTTTATGATTATTAGCATGAAAATACTAATAGAACGTTTCAAGGATATGACAGAAATAAAACAAATTACTAACATTTTGATGAATTTATAATTCTGCAATAAAAACTTGATCTACATGGGGTGATACTTTTTTCCTAGTACTATTGGATAGTGTATATATTCTTTCTCGTCTATAAAAGAAAAAAAGTGTGTTAGTCCGAAACTCAAATTTTAAAGATTTTTCAAGTTTAAATTTCAATCAAAATGATTTTTAGTTTCAGCATAAATTTTAGAATTACTCTATATCAAATCTTGTTTTCGGAACATATACCAATCCAATAGTAGTTTATTTTCAAAATGATAAAGATTAGCACTTTGGATGGTAAACTCAACTTCCGTCGAGAAATAAAAATTGTCCAAAAAAAAAACTTTATAAAAATACAAAGTAAAATTCTAAAAGAAAGACTGTTTTGAACGATGTTGGATAAAGATTGCACGATCATTATCGGCTTATGATGTACAGATGTTTGGCTGAAGAAAAGATACATCCCCATCCATATCATAGCTGCAGGTTATCAGATTAGAATAAATTCTCGTTTTTATCGAAATCATGCAAATAGATGAGATTTAATCGATTTTATGAAAGCAGAAGAAAATCATGCACAGAATATTATACTTCAATCGTTTTCTAGCGCATTGAATCAAGAAAATAAATGAACAACAATATTACAAAGTCGAATTAGCACGTTGCATAATACATATAATAATTATCTCATTGTAGCATTTGATCTTCTTCACGGTTTGTCGTCTATTGTAGCAAAAAAAAACTTGTTAGCGCAGCCCCTTTGGGGCTGAAATATGGAACTCATATGTGTTTTTTAGCCTCATTAAACTAATACAAACTAGGTGAAGTGAAAAATCCCTCATAGACAATAATTCTATTCGAAGATAATTGATCATCAAAGTAACGATTTGTTTGATTTATTTCTGCATTTGAAACAGAAATTTTTTTCTTTGCATTGTTGCTATTTGCTCGCTATATTTCATTTTCGCATTTCATTGTTCTTAATTAAGCAATTATTATCGTTGTAACTATTGAATTAAATGGAAAATAAGACTGTTGTAAGTATCTGTTATATCTACAGCAGTAGCTCATAATGCACAATTACATATCTCGATCACGGCACAAAAAAACTGGTATTGATTATTTTTTTAGAGTTATTTTTTGATCAATTACCCACTTTTTATGTTGATCAAATGGCAAATGTGGTATGAGAGAAAGGAGTAGGCGAGCACAAAACTTTGACTTAAACCTTACACTCACTATTTTCTTCGAAGATATATTTGACTTTTCACAAGAAAGTTATGATTGTACACTAAGAGCATTATTTAAGATCGATAAACTAATATTTCAAAGTATTTTTATTTGTCTTTCATTTATTCTTTTTCTATAATAAACATTTTATTTCATATTTAACTGCTTGATTCTTTAATGCTCTTAATGAAGAAAATACTCAAAAGTTTGCATCTCAGTTTTCAACATTTTTACTTTCGACGAAAGTTGGAACAATCATTTGAATAAATTTAATTTTTTTTCTTTATATTCTGGTATTTTTAAGATCATAAAATAAAAAATTATTTTTCTATGTCAAATTAAAACAATTCAAAAACAAAACTTGTAGAAGAATTAAATGAAAAATATCAGTTTTCGAAATTCTTAATTAACGGCTAACTTAATCTCTAAAGAATGCTTCCAAGTATCACTGATAAAAATTTCAGTTCTGTCGGACAAAGTTAGAGTGGAGTCATAAGCAGGCCCGATGTAGTCCTATAAAAAATTCAGGATTTCATAAGAAATTAAGAGAGCCTTCTTGAAATTTTTTCTTCTTTCGAACTTTTTATTTTAAGTACTCTATCTGTGGTAAAAATTTCAAGTTGATTGATTGTACTGTCTTCGACAACCAGAAATGATCGAGAAAACAAGAGGAATGGAATACTCTTTAATTGTGATGTCTTTCGATCAATAAAAATCTCAACTAGAAACATAATCATATTGATTTCAAGTATACCGCTCTGCTAGTCATCGATTATCAAAATAAAAATAGATGATATTTAGTGCTGGTTTTTTCGAGATTTTTGAAAAAAAAAAGATTTTATTTTTTGATAGATCAACAATTGAAAATCAAATAGAAGAATGAATTAATGTTGGCATTTTGTTCAATGAGAGATGTATAAGTGTGATGAGGGAATGGTTAAAAAAAAAAGATTAAAGCATAGGTGAATAGATAATTGAAACGAAACAAGAAGATACAAGCGATTCCTAACCTATCTAAAATATGAATAATAATTATAGGCGACAAGAAAAGAAAAAGAAAAAGAAAAAGAAGATCGATTGCTTCATTTTAATCAAGATCGATAGTACGATGAACAGATCGTGAACGGATTAATGTTGTTGTAACCATTTCAGCACGTTCTTCAGCATCTTCAAGTTCTCGTTCAAGACGACGGGCACGTGTTAATACTAGAATAAAATAGAAAAAGTATTCCAAAAAAAAATGTCTTGAAATTTGAAAAAAAAAAACTAACCTTGTGCAGCTGATGATTCAGCACTTTCAATTTGTGATTTATAAATACGCATCTTATCATTAACTTTACTCAATGAATCTGTAAGTGAAAGTACTTTTGTTTGTTCTTCATCAACTTGAGTTAATACATCCTTAAGACGTTTTTCATTACGACGTAAATCTTTAAGAAGTTCTTGATAACGAGCACGTTCTAATTCAATTTCTGTTTCAAGTTGTGCAAGCTATTGAAACAAACAAAAAAATATTTATGTTTTCTTTTAATTAAAGAAATGAAGTGAAAACATACTCGTCCTTCATATTTGGCTGCCATACGTTTTCCTTCAGCACGTGCATAAGCTTCAGCTTCATCAATCTTAGCACTACAATCACGTAATTGTTGATCTAATGCACGTTTTGATGCTTCAGCTTCAGCAGTTTTTTCACGTTCATGACGAATTTCTTCATCACGATGAATTAATTCACCACCCAATTTTCGTGCCTAATAAAATAATTGAATAAATATTTTTATAATATAAAAACAAATTTAACAACATTTAATTCTTTATTTTCTATAGTCATTAAATTTACGGATGTTAAGTAAGTTTTGACTGAAAAAGGAATAGATCCCATCGGATCCGAAAAATTTAGCTTCAATGACCTCGATCAGAGAATAGAGGTCAACAAGTTCACTTCTAGTTCAGATCTGACAAATTGTTGACAATGTTTTCTGATCTAAGCGCATCTGTTCGAATGGTTCAGTTCTTAAAATAAAGCAGTCCGAACAATTCTTGTTCTATTTTTAAGAAAGGCACTTCTGAGCTTCAGAAACTTTTGTTTTCTTAATGAAATGCTGTTCCCAAAATAGAAAGAACTTTTTCAAATAGTTCAATCCGGGAAATTGAACTATTGGAACAGATCAGTTCGAACAATTATTTCGTTCATTTGATATGAATTTTGAATTGAGAACTGATCGAGTCCTATCAGAGAACATTGATAAAAAATAAATAGCTTTTGAGGTATGTTTTATGTTGTTTGGTAGATCCTACTAAGATTGAAGAAAGTCAAAAAAGATTACTGTCATTGAGTCGTTCTACATAAGTTAAGCCTTTTCTAGTGAGTTTTTCGTTGAAAATATCATGATTTTCTTCCGATGATTCTCAATATCTACTTCCAAGTTTAAATTTTGCATAAATCGTCCATGGAACTAGTTGATTATGATAGAATACAGTTTTATAGTATGTTCTATCCTGAGATAATATACATGTGGACAATATTTGATTTTTCGCATAAAAACAAAAATTTTCAATGTCACCATCTAAGAATAGAAGATACTAGAAAATATGATATTTCCATCATAAATTAGTCCTATTAAGAACTTTATAAGTGCAAAATTTGAAATTGAAAGTTGGTTTTGATGATGATCTGAAGGGAACGATGATATTTTCATTGAGCAGTCCCCTTATCCTTGTTATTATTTTATCGAACATGAGATCAGAAAGAGTGGATGCTTCTACATCGGTTTTTAATTATTATATCAAGACTTATGTATCCATTCTCTAAGGGTTCGAAACAGTAAGTCATGCCAATGAGAAAATAATAAATTATTAGAAGTATTCTTCTATTTTGATAAGGAATATTTTTTCTAAAATCTGTAAGTATTGTAAGAAATTTTGATTTACTCTTTCATCAACAATCTTAAGTTCTTGTCGTATATCAAGAATTTCTCCTTGAAATTGTATTGCATCTGCTTCAAATTTCTTTCTTTCAGCAATAGCACGATTAGCAAGTGATGTTGTTTCAGTTAATCGTTGTTCGGAATCATGTAATTCAAGTTCAGTTGTTTTACGAGCTTTTTCACTCTATCAAAACAAAGAAAAGGAAATAGAACTAT